GCCGTGCTAATAATTCTAGGGCCAGTATTTTGGGGTATCTCTAAATTGATGACCTGTGGGGGCTTTTAAAGCGTCTTCTATGGACATTTTGGGGTACTGGGGTTTTTTGCCGTTTTACGGATGCACGCAATTTGTAACCTGGGCATGTTGGGTATCGTTTTACTCGTTGTAACCTCATCTTTTATATTTCATTTAAAAAATGGGTATTTTGTTGTGTTTTGGGGCATTTAATTAAATTTTTCACTAAATATTAGGGTTTAATAAGGAGTTGCGCTAATATTGCGCAACATAAAAATTTGCAACTACCACCATTTTATTCTATAGGGTCTTGGCATTCAGAAAATATATAATGTTGGGGGGTTTTAAGTAATTTTCAGGCCTAAAATGTGGAATATAACATGGGTACAAAAAATGAAAAAAAGGCCTCAGTCATGAAGGGGTTAAATAAGTTGTTTCGGGTAGGTTAAGACAAACGAATAGCTTTTTGTGTGCCGAAAAGCATATGTAATGGCATAGTTTATTTTTTTTCCTTTGTGCTGAAGCTTCTTTGTCTCTGTGAGACAGTCTCTTGTGTCACTGTAATTAGGAGTCTTTTGTGAGTACAAGGACTGTGGCATATGTGTGCAGTGTATATAGTGAATAGGCACAGGTTCTCATTAATAATACTCCTACATGCCACTTCCACTGTTAGGTGAAATCTGGCTATGTCAACTATCCGCTGTGATGTGCTAAGCACACCACATAACTGTCTTTTTGCTGTATCCCAAGGAGCTCTCGGTCTTTCATAATTCTATTCATGCAAACATTTTGTCATGTTGTGTGCATTACTTGTTTTGTGTATTGTTTACTTATTTGCACTGTTTAACTATCAAATGTTTTCTTTCTAATTTTAGTCTGTCATATTTCAAGTTGTCAGTAAAAAAAATATGCTCTGTCAGTAAATTTTCCATGTTTTGTCAGTAAAAAAAAAGCATTTTTCCATGCTAATGAGTATGCACAAATGGGTGTCTATTGAGTGACTGAGATCTCACCCCTATTCCTTTCCAGAGAACCTCAGATTGTAATAAATCAGGCCCGCAGTATGTAAGAAATAATTCACCATCAAGCTTGTGTGTGGCTGACCAGAAATATTGTGTGTTTATTTGTACATATGCATGATGCATACTGTATCTAGAAATGGATTTTGTTGCATATAACTATCAGTAATTACTGCTCCGTAATACATATATTTATATGCAAAAAAGAAAACAAGAACAGCACCCTCTCTTCGTGTAATACCGCTTTTTATAAAAAATTTATAGAAAAGCAACTTTTTTACTCAGAAGAGTCCATGCGTATAACAGCTTTTAGCTACATGGATGTAATAAAAGTCATATGCCACTAAGCCGGCCAGACACCAGAGCATCACCAAAGACATGGTTTTGGTTCTGACAAAGATGGTTTAACCATTGAAATGCGTTAACCCTTACCAAATCCATTGCCTTTGATGATGCTCTGATGTCCTGTCAGCTTAGTGGCATATGACTTTTATTACATGCATGTACCTACAAGATGTTATACACATGGACTCTTGTGAGTATAAAATTTGCTTTTATATCAACTTTTTTTTTTTTTTTATAAAAAAATGTTATTACACGAAGAGAGGGCACTGTTCTTGTTTTCTTTTTTTGCATGTGCTCTGAGGTATTCCAACCTACAATTGAACAGCCGCCCCTCTGGTGAAATCATCTGGAATTTGGTCTCTTGGGTCTTTTGAAGAGTGAGAGATCTCTACCAAAGCGCTGAACAGTTTAGATTATACACCCATGTTATTTATATATAGATATAGACCTCCTCCTCTTGGTGTGGTGCAGAATGGCGTAAGTAGTGTGGCAGGCTAACATTTCCATTTCAGGGTCTGATTCTTGGTTTATGGCGGGGAGAAAAATAGGTTGGACACTACTCACGTTAGACTTTTTAACATTTATTGCTGAACTAACTCTAGGAGAGAGGGCATATGGGTGCAGGATACCCAAAAAATAGCAGGCCTTTTAAGGGCATTCTCTTGTTAATTCTAGGAGAGAAGGCTTAGGGGTGCAGGATACTCAAAAAGTAGCAGGCCTTTTAAGAGCATTCTCTTGTTAATTCTAGGAGAGAAGGCTTAGGGGTGCAGGATACTCAAAAATCGAAGGCCTTTTAAGAGCATTCTCTTGTTGATTATAGTAGAGAAGGCTTAGGGGTGCTGGATACTCAAAAATCGAAGGCCTTTTAAGAGCATTATCTTGTTAATTCTAGGAGAGAGGGCTTAGGGGTGCAGGATACCCAAAATGTAGCAAGCCTTTTAAGAGCATTCTTTTACTAAATCTGGGGGAGAGGGCGTGGGGGTGCAGGATACCCAAAATTAACAGCCTAGCAACAATACACTAAACTTAATTAGGGACCAGCATAGGGCAGGATCCCTACAGAGAGTATATTAAAGAACCCAGTTGTAAAGTAACACAATACAGATATTGTTATTAAGTTTGCACTTTAATTCATATCTGACTCACATAGTAAAAATCAGTTAAACATAGTAAAATGTAAAGAATTTGATGAAAGACATATTTTAACTAATACACATGCAGGGGGGAAAAAATAACATAACCCATAATACAATGCAATGCCTCCAATGTGTCATATGTCGAGACAGAGACATTTCTGTATGTCATTGATACTCACTACAATGTATTTATTTACATAAAGCCAACAATTTCTGTAGAACTTTGCACATATAATTGAACAGTTGCCAACTGTGCCTGCCCCTTCACATTTTAGTTCTATTTACTACTGTACACAATCTTTGTATTACAAAAAAGTAATACATGCCATGGATTCCTAAAGCACTATAGGTTAGCTAAAGAGACAACACATCAGCAATTATGTCCCTTCTGGCAAGCTAAAACCTAGGACTGAGCAGATAAGGGTCAAGTTACCACAATAAGTCATCCATTTCTGTGTTAACATTTCAGCGTGAGCTACTAAACTCTGTAAACTACAAGTTTTTTTCACATGGGGTAAAAAGATAGCAATTACCAAGTGAAAAAGAGCCCAAAACTCCACTTCCCTGATTAAGAAATAGAGCAAAAATTCATATTCAATCTCATATTTCAACAAGAAAATAAATGTAGACCAGACCATAATAAATGAAACATTTTATAAAATGCTCCCTTTAAGCCTCTCTGCAGCAATATTTTAAACAGATTGGGTGGAATAGATTGAATTGAATGTTGTCTTCAAAGTAGATTTAAAGCAGATTGCTATCCATCCTGTCTTGGGGCCTTATCTCCCAGTGTAGTTGGTCAGCACAGAAGCTTCTATTTACTTAAATTAATGTTTTAGTTGTGTGTTGCCAAAAAGCCAAAACACTAGATTTTTCATGTATTATGACTGTTTTCAATTACAAAACACAGCAATAAAATGTGGTTAGCAAATGTTGTGCCTAGTTCATTGACCTTAGTTCTAATGGCAGGAGTGTTTTATTAACCTTGTTTCATCGTTAGCTCTAGCTTTCAAATCTAAGGGCCCTTTCACACTGATGTGTTGCAACACACAACAACCGGTGCCTTACAGTGCTATCTGTGCGTTGTGGTGCACTGCATTGCCAAAAAGGCATGAAAGGTAACACAGGAACAGTACAGTCTGGAACAGTCTGAAAGGGCCTGTGGGGGTCAGTGGGAAAACAGTCCTCAGAACTAGTCTTGTGAAATCAAAGTCTGCATTACTGCAGCCAAAAAGAAAAAAATGGCTTACGCAAAAAGGATCAAACAAAAAAGGCTTAATTTTAGCAATAAGGCAAAAAAGCAAGCAAGGGCCGATTGCATGAATCTTTTGAGTCCGTTACATGAGACTTCTGCAATCTGCTGCTGGCATGAGACGTTGTACAGTACAATGACAGCTGCCACTGCCCACAGCTGTTCACAGGCCATACGCATGTAATCACACATGCTGTGATTACCTGCAGATGACCGCACCTGGATGTAAACTAGACATGTGCACCAGCAAAAAAATTGTTTAGTTTCGTTTCGTTTTGAAACAACAACAAAAAATTTGTTTAGTTTAGTTTTGTTTTGAAACAAAAAAAAATTAGTTTAGTTTTGTTTCGTTTTTCGGGTCCGAAAGCGGTAGTCCTGCCGCAATTCGTTTGCAGCAAAATGACATTAGGGGGGGGAGAAAATGAAATATTTTTTTTTCTTTTTTTTTTACAGTCTGCAGAAGATGAAAACAAAAAAAAGCCTGAGGTTCCCCCCCCCCAATTCATACCAGACCCTTTTGGTCTGGTAGGAATGTTAGGAGAATGCCAATTCAAAAGCAAAGAAAAAAAATGTATCCATTACTCTCCCTGCCCTGGATTAGAACCTGCAAACTTAACAATGGCAAACCAGGACTCTAACCACTACACTATTGCCTCTGTACTTTTAACCATAGAAGCATTTGATATGTATGCATGTAATATGTCGCATTTGACAGCTAAGAATGTCAAATGGGCGGAGCGAGCCCCAAGCTGACTCCCTACGTACATATCTCCCCCGTTCCAGGCCAGTGGTCTGGCATCAAAATGGCATTAGACATGAGAGAGGGTATCTGCATTCTGGTGCACTCTTAAATTCCCTGTTTATGCACCACTGTAAACTTAAAATCCTGGCGGGTAAGAAACCACCTGGTGATCCTTGAGTTTTTGTCCTTAATCTGTGCCATCTTCTCCCCCAACTAGCTGGGACAAGACCGTACTCAGTTCCAGTTCTGAAGCATTGGTCTGCACCAGGAACTATTTCCAAAGGTAAAGGGCTACAAAGACTCGCTCCTGGCACAGAGCCTGCTTCAACTGGCAAAAGGATGATTCAACCTCAAGCCTACTGGTACCAATTAAATTCGGCACCTTTTCATGTTTAGTTACATCTAAAGTGCTGCTAGGTGTATACATTATCAACAAGTACAACATTTGTCATTATTTTTAGCTAAAACCGATGTCACATGTTTAGTTATCAGTAATGACCAGCATCCTTCAACTTCTATATATTGTCAATATAGGGATGGCTTGTTCTTCTTTCCAGCAAAACATGACAACCACGTACAGATGAGCATAGCAACTGCTGCTCCACCTCCTGTGCAATAATATGCCCAGCCGAGCTTGCAGGTACCTAGAACACAAGAAATAAAATAAATGTGTTACTTTTTATTTAGAAGATACAGTATAAGCTCACTAATAAGCTACAGATAGACACACGGACACAATATGTGGTGTAGTTCAGCTCCATGTCTAATTTTTACAGTTCCTCACATTGCTTTAAAACCTTTAAACTAGAACTAACTAGAACCTTCAGGAGAAACCGTGAAGGGCCCCCCAACCAGGGCCGGTTTTACTCTCCCTGCCCCACCCAAGGCCAGGTTTCCGCAATACCCCATCCCCCCCTTTCCCATTTATCACTTTTTTTATTTAATTATTTCCTCCTATTTTTTAAATTTTTATTTATTTAATTATTTTTATTTATCTTATTTACTTTTTTATGATTTTTTTTCGACTACATCGGCGTTCTCGACAGAACACAGGTATCTGTGTTTAGTATTGGGGCATTTTCACGAGTATGAGTACTCGTGAAAATGCCCAGTATTGGCACTGGTGCATCCCTACTTAAAAATATAATGCATTGCTGGGACTTGTAGTTCTGCATAGCTGGTGCTGTTCTGCATTGCTGTATAATTATTATACAGCAATGTAGAATATCACCAGCTATGCGGGACTACAGGTCCCAGCAATACATTATAATAAAAAAACAGCACTGCAGAATACCACCAGCACCGTTCCTCATTTTTTTACAACTAATCCAGGGACTGTTGAATGGCCAAGAACAGTTTGAGCAATGAACATTAATGTATCAGCCCTAAGGGAAACATTGACAGTGTCCAGAGTGTTTCATACTCTTTAGTAATTATGCAGATTAAGTTTAATGTCTTACAGAGGACAGGAATAATGTACCCGGGTGGTAAATGCTAGAATTAATTTTTAATGTTGTGTAATAGCCTTCTGCTTTACCTAAGCTTCCTTTCCATTTCATTGCTTGCATATATTATAATATTTATAATCTCTACTCTGCATCATTTTGCTGCTGAATCACCTTTTCTGTCTCCCCTTTTCATAATTCCAAGGCAATGTACTACAGTATATATCCAGTTGTGAAATTGTCATTTCATATATCGTTTACAGAGCAAACATACTGTGATTTAACATTTTGATAAATAATGCACATGATGGCTTATTATTACTATTATAACATTATCACAAAACTAGGGTATCCTTTATATCAACTGGTAAGAGACTCCAAAATGATTAAGCCTAAGCACTTGTTATCTATTTTTTCTGGTAGGGTAAGAAGCTTTGGTGGGCTGATTTTATTGATCTTTTGCTCTTGGGAGGAGTTACACAAATATCAAGATGCCTTGATGGGTGGGTGTCAGTCTGGAGGAGCGGGCATGCTTAGGCAGACTGGATTTTCCTGCAGACTGACCCAGATATTGCCCACTTGGGATGCTGAGCCTCCATGATTGAAAGAACAAAAATTCAGTGAATGGAAGGGGCAGATCAAAGACAGTCCAGTTGTAGAGGAAAGAGCTACATGATGTTGGACATAGGTGTGCGCCTGGGCACACTCTAATCACCCCGAGCACAGCACCGAAAACCGCAACAGTGGGTACCGTGTTTTTAGTCACTGAGCCAGTGGAGATATCACAAAGATCTCTCTGTGACCGGCTAAGTGATACCGAGCGCAGCAGCACTTGCCACTTACATTCCTCACATAACAGCCACAGCCCTTGTGTGGCTGCGAGGGAATGTGGCTGCAGCTTCCCAGGCTTCCTATCCAATCAGGAAGCCGGGCAGGCTCCCTGCTTCATTACTGCACCCCTGCTGGAAGAGCTAAGGGACAGTTGAAGAGATGGGATCCGGGATGCTTCAGGTCTATATATGTATGTATGTATTTTATTTATATACAGTAAACTCACAGTTATCAGGCACCCACAGGATCAGTAGGTGCCAGATAACTGTAGTTTGTTTGCTTGAGAGTTAATAGTAACTCTCAAGCAACCACAAAGCATGGTGTCCTGCTCCCCGGCTGCCCCATTCACTTGCTGGCTAGCTTCCACAGCTGACAGGTGAATGTAAGCAGCCGGGAGCAATAGCCAGCCTGCTATTGGCTTTTCCTATTTGATATGGTAGGACAAGAACCCTTAATTTCAGAAAGGCTAACTTTGATAAACTGTGCCACCTAGAGGGGGACATCAAATGGGAACATTTATTTCACAAACTGAACTCGGACCAAAAGTGGGAATGTTGTAAAAACACATTACATATTGCCATTGCCAAGTGTATACTGTTGGGTAATAAAAGTAAAAGATCACAAACAAAACCTGTATGGCTGAATAAAAATGTAAAGCATCATATAAAGGAAAAGCGAGTGGCATTTATAAAATATAAGATGGAGGCGACAGTATTGGCGTTCCATAACTACAAAGAATGTAATAAAAGATGCAAACTAGCAATACGGGCAGCTAAAATAGAGTGCGAAAAGCATATTGCCATAGATAGTAAAAAAAAATCCCAAAAAATGTTACCAATATATAAACAGTAAAAAGGGGAGAAAGGAGCAAATAGGCCCAATAAATGACGAAAACGGGAAGTTAGTCACAAATGACAAGGAGAGGGCCGAAGTGCTCAACACTTTTTTTTTTCCTCAGTATACACTCAGGAGGGAAACAGGTTTGACGCCCATGATAAAACACAGAGTTCATCACAAAATATAGCCAAGTGGTTGACGGAACATGGGATACAACAAAGACTTAGTCTACTTAATGCAAATAAAGCGTTGGGACCAGATAATCTGCACCCCAAGATACTTAAGGAACTAAGCGAGGTTATAGCTAGACCATTATTCCTGGTAGAGTTCCGAGTGACTGGCGGAGGGCTACGGTAGTTCCAATATTTAAAAAGGGGGCAAGATGCCAACCTGGGAATTACAGACCAGTTAGTCTTACATCGGTAGTTTGTAAACTGTTAGAGGGAATGATTAAGGACTACTTGGTAGAATTTGTTCAGGTTCTGGAACTCGCTGCCTCAAGCAGTGGTTTCCGCAAATAGTCTGGAATCATTCAAGAAGCTTTTGGACGATTTCCTGAGAGACCGTAATGTACAAGGGTACAGGTACTCTTAAGAATGAGAACACTTAGGGACCAATACACACACACACAATTGGTTGGACTTGATGGACTTATGTCTTTATTCAACCTCAAATACTATGTAACTATGATATAGCCAATAGCAGGCTGGCTATTGAAACCCCACAAACTAAGCAGCAGAGTGGATCTGAGAGAGAAAGCTCTCTTTCAGGTCTGCACCTATGCTCAGTAGGCGGGTACAAATATCAAATGTGTTTGTACTTTTGTCTGCGCACTCTAATGCAATAGGTTACGATGCTAGAAGTTCTCCAGCCCATTCATGGCTCTATCTGACTTGCTCCAGCTTCTAATGAAATTTGTGAGACACTAACAGGTACAGTAAAATCACAGTAAGCAATTTCAGTAGAAGAAAGGAGATAGAAGGTAAGGCCGGAGTTCAGCTTTACGTACAGAGTCTTATAGCCAGATCCCATACATTAGCTGACAACAGGTATAGGTTGCTATTGGATAATGTAATTTTACTAGTCATATTGTTCATGGCACTGTCATTCTGAAAAGTCTGTTAATGTTCAGAAAAGAATGAGTAAATTACGCATCAAAGCAATGTAACTATTATGTGTATCTTGTATTGTACAAATTGAATGTCAGCTGTATTGATTTCAATCCATCTCAGCTATAATGGGTTTTACTCTGATGCACAGCTAGCATTTCTCATACACACTTTCACAGGCCACGATTGGTGATTGTGAGTCACTTGTTACCTAATTGGAACTGACTGGACGCATTGCCACATGCCTGCTGGATTTCAGGGCTGTTCCACCCCAGTGGATACAGGGCACATCCGGAGCTAATGAGGAGTCCTACAGAGAATCAGGCAAGGCAAAAAGAACATGTTTGTTTACTCAGTGTGAGCCACACAGCAATCTACAATATTCATTACAACCAATTACACAGCTATGCACAATGCTCTTTTATCATCATCTTTACTGCTCGTGAAAGAGCACATATTTAATCGTAGTGGAAATAAGGCAACAAAAAAAACACATTAAATGAGAAATATATATTTCAGAAAATTCCTTCCAATCATTGTAGATGCAGAAAAGTAGTCAGGACTAACAACTTATGTCACCGCAAGCAAAGATTAATAACTGCAAAGGTCACCACTGTGGCTAAGATTACAGACAATTCTTCTATTTCATGTACAAACACATATATGGGCAACATTTTCTTTTTCAAAAGTTTTTAGGATTTCAACCATTATGTTCCAATAATGAAATATTTCTGTAATTGAATTTTAGTGTTCCGCTTTTGTTTAAGAATCGTTTGCAGAGAAATGTTCCTGCTTAAATTCTAATTGAACCTTCAGCTTAAATCAGCTAAATTAATTTCAAATGCATCAAATCAAAATGTGTTCAGTGTTTTACAGTTTGTTTCCAAAGCAGCTAAAGTCTGAGTAGAAAAGTCTGTCCCCTGTCAGCAGCTGCAGAGTTGGACCCTTGCTGTCTGTCCAGAAATAGTGATCTCATTGCAGAGGTCTGACATACTCCCTATTGTGTCAGACCTTTAGGTCTGCAGTCAGCATAACTCATGCTCCTTTAAGTATGTAATGTAGACCTAGCATACTACCTGTAATTTTAATGCATGCAAAAGCAGTGGTGAATTTTTAACAACATTTGGGATCCTCCTATCGCACAAGCCCATAGGTCTAGTGTGCAAGTCTAATATTTCTTAAGGGCCCATTCCCACCACTCTGTTTCATTAACATACTACTATGTGAGGCAGTGCAATGCATTACCAAAAATGCAGAAGGAATGATTTTAGACCATTTGCGGTGCACACATGCATTATATGTACAACAACGGAATCTCCTAGTGTGAATGAGCCCTAATAGTGGAAAAAAATGCATAATATTTGAAGTTATTTTGAATTTAATATAAATTTAAGTACCACTGCTCAATGCTGTGATGTGGGAACTACCCAAATTCAGTTTGTGACAATCTGGTTTACAGAAAATATGGTTGGAGACATTGGCCATGCTACACATGTCCAAACCAACTTCATTGAAGTACACAGGGCATGTGTTGCACACCCTGTTCTCCTCCTCCACTGCGGCACCCAACCTGGTACAAGGACAGCCAGGAGTTGGTGTACAGCAGCTGCTGTAAAAAAATGCCCTGACAGAATGTTTATAAAATACACGAGATAGAGAGATACAAATTAACATTGTTATTATTGTATTCGATCCGCAGATCAAATGAATACATTGGATTTGAATATGATGTCAGTTAAAGCATCCTGACAAACATTTTGTTTTGCTATTGAACCCCGTACTAACCCTAAGTTTACCCTATTCCACTCAAATTAACTCCTTCCCCTTCTCCCATTAGCTATTATTTTCGTGCTGATTTTAATTTTTTTTGTTTATTTCTATTTTTATTAGCATTAATATTTAAACTTGTGTTCATTTCTATTTGATTTGCTTGTTACTTGATTAGCAAAACTAAAAAAAAAGCTTTAATTTCATTATTAAATAACTTTGCAATGCTTTATACCAAAATCAAAATGTTAGTGTCATTTTAAATATGACAAATTATAGAATTAAACTCATACTTTTTTATCTACAGCAACACTAATTGTTTCTAAAACCAACACCGACCAAATTGGAAACAAATTGTGCTTTTTAGTTATAGTATGATTTTGCCTATCAATCTCATAAAAAGTAAAAACAAGTTGTTGGACAATATGACAGAAAGAAAGTCCTGTTTCTCAAAACAGTGCTACAAGGCAGAAGCGCTTAGATCTACACCACTGTGCTGCCCACTTTGTTTTCTTAAGTAATTAAAAAGTTATTGCCAAATATAAAGGCCCATAGCAGAAATTTAAACATTTGTAAATGCATTTACATAGTGGCACGTGGTCTTTTTAATGGTAAGCAAATTACCTTGCAGGTAGCAGGTGCAATGCTAAGTTCTGACTCTGAAAAAGTTTGATTTACATACAGGTTTGTGAGGGATCGTAAGGGTCAGCAACCAGAAGTACTTTTAGATGTCATGTGGTGCCTAATTTAACACATAAAATGTACTTTTACTCCTATTTATTAGTAATTTAGCTAAAAATTTCCATATTCTATTGTCACAATTTTGTCAAAATAACGGCTCATGAACAGAGGCGCAAATACAGGTGTATTGGCATTCACTGTAAACTACGCCTATACTTGTGCCGCCCAGGGGCCTAGCTGCTGTTTTTTCTGTCCATAGGAAAGTATAGACAAAAAAAAGCTGTTCGTGAGTATATGCATATAAATGCCTGTAACGCCATTTGCACATACACGGGTGTAACCTCTGCTGTTTTTTGTGCTTTTGGGTCATCTCAGTCTAGGTTCTCTCCCACAATGGTCTGTGCCACATCTCACATGCCGCTGGGCTCCAGGCTTTAGGAGAGGCTGGTAAAGTAGAGAGGTGGGTGGGGATGTAGGCACGGTATTAGGGAGGAGGCGTGAGGGAGTAGTGAAAAAAACAGTATACCCATTTCTGAGCACAGTGCTTCTGCCAATGGATGCACAAAACAAATTTTCTTGTTATAGTTTCCTATAGTTTCCACTAGCTGGAGCTAAGGATCATAGGAAGTAGGAACTTATTTCCTATGCTCCTCAGCTTCATGTAGTGGCCATAGTGCAGTAATATAAGATGACATTCCAAAATACATTCAACTTATAAAGAATATTTGTTTTGTGCATCTATTCTTTCAGAACAATCATTCACAGATATTCACAGGACCAATGGCCCTGCTAATTGCTTATAAATAGACCCCATAAATTCATATTTGAGGCAATAGAGTTTATTATAAACAGAGAGACATGTTTTTCATTATTTATTTGTCTCTTTTTTTTCTACACTACAAACAGACTTCCAGTCACCCTCTTGTGTTTCACTTAAAAGAAGGAAAAATCCATATAATGTACTTCTCATGTTTCTTAAATGTGCAGATTAGATTCAGGAAAAGGTCATTTTAGACCTTCTCTACTGATAGTAAGCCAAGCTAACGCTGGTCATACACTGTACGAATTTCGGCTGGTTCATCAAGAATTCGCACAGTGGATGCTGCTGTCAGCACCCTTTTGGCTGGCATCCCTTGATCAGCTGATCAAAGGAGCTGGTTGGAAAATCTTCAAACAAACAAAAAGAACTGTTTGGGAATTCTGAATGAAGACAGCTGGAGATTCCTCAATCAATGCTCGTAAGCATTGATGAAGGAATCTGTTCCATTTCTTTTGTTTAACCCGCGGGGTTGAACGAAAAATATAGAACAGTGTATGGCCAGGTTAAAGGTCAACAGCAGCGTTCAGTGCTAAGACTTATTAAACAGTTGGCATGGTAGTGTATTTGTTTTCAGGTTGCATAGGAGTCTGTATGTTACTTATATACAATTGCTGCCATTGTCACCTGAACAATATATACATACATAGGAACATAGGAAACTACCATACCTATAGATTTGGCAGTTTCAGGAAAATCCTTTGCAAACTGATCCTCACACACCTTTAAGGGTATAGAGAGGTCTACGTACACATTCCTTTTTTAAATGTTTGAAATGGAAATTCCTGCCTCAGAGAATGGACATAAAGGTGGCTGCTACTGCCAGCAGGGCAGCCATCAGGGGGTACGGCCAATACTCATGTAAGGGGCCCGGGCAGCCTGGGGGGCCCACCCGGGTCCCTTACATGACTATCGTCCGACGGCAAAGGGCGAGGAGGCGGAGGCCTGGCCCTAGCAGCGCAGGGCGCCAGCATTGCCGCTCTAGCGGCTTTGAGACAAGCTAGGGATGCAGCATCTATGGTGGACTCTGCAGGGTCACTCTCAGGTGGGTCCAGTGCGTCACTAAGCCATGCTTTCAGCGCGTCACTAAGCCCTGCGTCCAGCGGCGTGGTGGGGGCCCGGCCTAAAGCCATGTAAGGGGCCCGAAAATTTCTGATGGCTGCCCTGACTGCCAGTATTGGGAACAAACAACTCTTAAGAGTTGCAGTGATGCTAGTTTTACTTTGCCACTAAGGCCTTGACTTTCCTGACTTTAAAACTAAGCCCAGCCCCCCAGTTAAGCTGCACCTACCCATCAAGCTCCTGCACTAACTGGACAGGGTGGTAGTGGATGAGCAGGGCATAGCCTCACAGCTGGGAAAGATAACAGATTAGTAAAAAAGTAAAACCAAGCTTCAAGCACGCAGTCAAGATTTTCACTTTTAAAGATTTAAAATATTCAGTAGGTTCACTTTAACTTTTCTCCTGAGCCTGTTCAATTCACCTGTACAATGCCAAAGAACAATGCAAACAGCGAGACACAGTTAAATTATGCCAAGATGTTTCAGGGAGAACAAGACTCCTAGACATGTTTGTTGTGTGACCCAGATTAGCAAAGCGTTCAGATTAACCATAGGAGTACCAGTAACAGTAACACGCAGCATTGTTCATTTACTATCATTTTAGAAAGGAATGACAAAGATATTACAAATCACTTGTATGTGGCAGAGGACACATATCTGCAAGAATTTTCATATTTGCCTAGGGAGTTTTGCGATGGAATTGCAGCACAGTAGGAGGATAGTGGAATATTTAGAGTGGTACCTCAATGTGCCTACTGCTGGTTTTTAAAAAGGCTGATAGATGCCAAGCACAGCATGTCTTATTTTATTACTCTGTAAAGTACTATGTTTTGGCTGTGCTGCACATGCCATGCACCAAGTCTTGAACACGGCAGAAGACAGGGTCTCACTTCTTCTGCTGCAGGCTCCATCAGATGTCCCGGTTGAACTCAGCTAGGTAGTGGAGCTCAAATGCAGCGCTGTAGGGGTTTTAACTGTGGTGCAAACGAGGTGCATTGCATCTACAATTACACTCAAGTAAAATGGTGTCCCTTACTGATGTATATTATTGTTGTGGTTTTAATTTTGCTTGAAAAATATATTTAAATATCACAATTTACCAGAAAATAAGGGCCCTCAAAATATTGAAGTTATTAAACAATGTCAGTAGATATCTCCTAATATTATGTACTTTTTTTTACCATGTACATAATTTGCCATGTACCAACATTTACACTTGCTGCATTTCCTTGTCAATATTCTTGTCAGGAAATATTAAGATAAGCTGGCTTAACCTAGTCTAAACAATGACAAGCCACATCTTACTTTCACATTTTATTTTCAGTATATTCAGTCTTATAAAAACAGAATTCACCATTCTGTTCTTTTTTGTGTTCAAATTTATGTTTAGCTCTTGTTTACTACCCGGCGCCTAGGAGTAATGAGTTTTGAATGCAAGATGCAAGTCAGTCGGTTTTTATTACTCCCATGTTATTTATTCAACATTCAGATCAGGTCCAGCTGAGAACTTAGAGCAGTGGCGCTCAGATTACTTAATATAGGAGGCCTCAAGTGCAGCCCCTAATGTAACCAAAGGTCCGCACATAATATTCAGTGAATGTAATCTTACAGAAAGCTGCCAGAGACTGCAGATATACAACAGGAGATGGTCAGAGAGACTACAGGCGTGCTATATGATGGCAGGAGACTGCAGAAAGGCTACATATGTTAAGAGATCATGCATGGCCAATCATATTATAGAAGTTGTTGGAGACTGGGGACACAGCCTTAGGGCCCCATTTATACTTGTGTGTTATAGCTGTAATTTAGGTGCTGTGAGATAAAGAAAAACCCTGCTTGCTGCATCATGTAGAGCAGGGGTGCCCACAATTTTTCGTCTGGAGATTGTACTTTTCAAATAACGAGCTTGATGAGATCTACCAGCGAAAAAACACCTTTATTTAGAAAACAAGCAAATTAAAATCGTTACTGAGAATACTGCCTCTCTCTCCTCTCTCTGCTGTCTCTCTCTGGGCCGGTAATTTGATATTTTCTCTCAGTTATAAAAATATAAAAAGAAGAAAGGGATGGACACAAAATAGTGTAAAATAAATAACCCAAACTACTTAAATACTGGAATTCAGTCTAAAAAATATTTTCTTTCACTGGCTTGATTAAGCACCTAGAGAAGCACAATAGGAGCCAAGAGGGCTTCAGGTTAAACACCAGGGACCTAACCAAAACATAGGCAAATATGACACTTTGGGCCCCATTAAAGACAGCACAAATTCTTGATACACAGCTTGCCATTCTCAATACCAGTCCTAGACATTTATTCTATTAAGTCGTGCTGGGAGACATTTGGGGCACTGGTTGAGTACCTCTGACCTAGCATTTAGGAGGTAATATTTTGTTTATGATTTAATTTTTATATAAGTTCACCTGTAGACCAAGCTTGGCCATACCCTCTCCTTCCCCTCAGCCCTTCCTATTCTATACTTTAACATAATGGGCAGTCTTATTGACCAATAAGGAGGCTTAAAGGAGAACTGTGAGGTTAGTGATTTTCACTCAACCTCATAGTTCGAGCCGACGTGTGACAATGAAACTGTCACACGTCGACTGAATAGATCCAGAAGTGAGCGAACACATACCGTCGCTCGCTCACTTCTCGATCATGTCCCTGCAGAGAGCCGTGACTGTCACAGGAGGACGCTAGTTTATGTCCTCCCGTGACCCTGAGGAGAACTATGGGGGAAAACACTTACCCCATAGTTCTCATTTAAGATAGAGTTGTGAAGGGTTAAAGTCCCCATCATTTTTTGCACTGATTGTATCTTGCTAGGGAGATTTCTTTCAAGTCATGTCTTTGAGAAGCAATAAGAAGTGAAGCAATAAGAAGGAAATCTCAATGTGAGGGGAATTATCTTTTTAGACAGTTGTCACTAGAATATTTGTCCCCATTTTGAAGATTTTCTGCCAACTCAAATATTTATGACTTTCCCCCCTTTTCTCTCTGTGACAGTGGTTAAGAGAACAAATAAAGGAGTCAATATTTAAAGTATATCTACAGTGTATGTAAAGGCAAAAACGTTTTGCCTTTACATACACTTCAAATATGCTATCAACCAATCAGATTTCATATGTCAACAATTTAGAGCAGTCAGAACAATCAAAGATAACAATTTTCTTGCAATGAGACACCAATCTGAATAAGCTTTGCAGGTTAAAGAACTAACAATTATACAAAGCATGTTACAAGCCTTACCTCCAATGAACTGTATAGCACCATGGAACCTTCCAGTCATCCTAGAAATAAGATCACCAATACAGCAGCCTAAAACAGAAGCTATGGACACCAGCAGGAGTAGAGCACAGCCAATACCAGTCACCAGGGTGCAGATCTGCCAGGATAGGCTTGGGATGGCATTAAAACTAGCATATCTTCCACATTCTTCCAACATTACCATGTTCCTTTCGTCTGTTTGAACCGGGTAGGTGCACCTGCGAAAAGTGCTGAATGAAACTGGTTTTCCCATTTGGAAGCCATACAGCCAGTAGGGCATGAAAAAACTTGTGCAGCTGATCGCTGCTGAGAGGAATGACAGCAGTGCCCAGAAGGTACCAAGTGCCGTCAAGCTGCTTGCCATCTTTTACACCTGTCTTTCACAGTTAAATACTTTTAGAAATAAACTTCACAAGCGTTTGCATTTTTATGGAACTTCATCAGCACTCATTTGTATTTTTCTTGCTCCTGAAGTAGCACAATGGTCTTCCTTCCGCTGTGAGCTGGGTTAATCTTCTTCTTCCCGGATGTCAAGTGTTAAAGTATATGCACGTCTGCAGAGAAATCATCCCGAGGCATAATTGTGTTCATCCTCCACTGGCTGGCAGTTCTGCAGTCTCAGAGAATATTAGCATCTCTTCTCTCCAGCATTGTCCTATAAAACTCTTTTATTGTAACCACTAAAGCAGATTCTTCCTGTTGAGGGGCAACATAAGGACACTGGGTTAAATTTCCCCAAAGCAATTCAAAGAAAATTCACTACAGATGCAGAGACTATAGGATCAGTCAAAGAGATATACTGTATATTCTTTGTTAGAACTCTAGAGGGAGTTGCCATATAGCTGCCATCTGCCATACTTAACTATTTCTTGCAAAGATTGTGCTTTTCTAAAGTAATGAATAGGTTAGAATAAATTGCAAGGAATTATGGAATATGATAAAATATTTGGGAAATGAAAGGGTCAGGCCACCTAATTACAATTGAGCTTGTTGGGCTAAATCAGCACCTGACTTCATATATGTCTTTTTTACTCCATTAGGGAGATCCTTCTGCTACAAATTCTGACTCTGTTTCTGTCCACCTGACAGATGTGGGTGCTCCCACCCACTTTTGTGTTCCAACACCTCCTGTTGCATTTTCCATAATATAAAGTAAATAAAACCAACAACAATAATTCTCCTATAATGGCCACAGCAGGTGTGCAGACCTAGTAACGTAAGCACAGAGATTTTACTAATAAAGTCTCCAAGTGAAGTAAAAACCCATCATGTAGTTTAAAGGGGGAATTACAAAAAAATCTATTCACTTTGACACCGGGCGCTGACTATTGACTACTGACTCTGGCACCTAAGACTGACTATTAACTCTGACTCCTGACTTAGACAACTGGCCTTGACACCTGACTCTAACACCTGACTCTTGACATCTAAAGAACTTGTACTTTAGAAGCGCAAACTTTATCCACTGCCTGCTGCTATAATGAAACCTCCTTTGGCAACTTAGACGGACTTTAAAGGAGAATTATGAGGTGAATGATTTTCACTCAGCCTCATAATCTGAGCCGACCTGTGACAATGAAACTGTCACAGGTCGGCTCAGTAGATCGGTAAGTGAGCGTACACATACCGGTGCTCGCTCACTTCTCAAACCTGTGCCGGCAGAGAACCGTGACAGGGAAGGGACTGGATTCCCCCCTCCCCTGTCCGATCCCCCAGCGCTGACTGGCGGAACAGACGGTGGAAGGGGCGGATACAGCTGGCTCTGCCTCTAGATAGGCAGAGCCAGCTGTCACTCACACAGTTGGGTGGATCCAGACATAATTATACTGAGTATAATTATACTGAGCTTTGGGTGACGGGAGGATGCTAGTTTGTGTCCTCCCGTTACCGTTAGGAGAACTATGGGGAAAAGCCCTAACCCCATAGTTCTCCTTTAAGCTTAAAAAATGCAGTATACTTGGATACATGTCTTTGTCCATATTAAAAGCTCTTTCACTTTATTGCAAGACCATAACAGTACAAAATAGTCAAGATCCTCTTTTCCACAGCAATGTTTCAGACTAAGCTTCCCCTTTGTCATGCTAGCAGTAGATATATGCAAAAAAAAAAAACAAGACTTTAATTATACTTTAAGATTGAAGGACAAGTATGAAGGAAACTGAGGTATGTTGTAAAGCAGGCACCGTATGCTATGTCTAAATGGATTAATCATAATTTCAGTTTCCACTACAGCAACACTGCTGGTACAATGAAAGATTAACTCTCCCAGGCAGGCCTGCAGATAACTTCATTTTTTACATAGTACACCAGTATTGCTATATTATTATTTATCTGTGAAATGTAAGATTAAATCGCCAAGATATTATACATTTTGTCCAAGGTTTATGGTTAGTGTCAGAGCCATATTTAGATATCACATTCCCCCATGCACACGGGAATGATAATCCTATAGTTTAGCTTGTCATGTGATTATTACATAGTAAACTAATACTAGAATGCATTATTGGAGGTAGTATGGAGCCTACTTTATATGCATACCTACTTTTCAACTGTACAGGCTACCAAAACAATATTCAGGTTTGGGTTAAACATGAATTCAACCTGAAAACAAGCTGTTGACAATTCAGGAAAATAGTGAAAAAATGGCACCCATTCAACACTATGACGACCAATAACTACAAGTCAAGTGGCTTAGAAGGGCCAATAATTGGGGAGAGTTATTTCGTGCCAGCCCCCTTCTATAAAATTCAGGGTTCCCAGCAACCGTTTTTCAGTGGTATAGAGTGGTATATAGTGCTATATATAGTGTTGTATTATACTACATTACTGTAAATTGCCTTGTAGTGCATTACAAATTATTGTGTACCACCCTTTGTGTTATCAATGTATAGAACCAACAGTCTTTTTAATTACTACCTCTTTGTGAGTGTTGGCAACAACTTCAGGTACTGCTTGTGGCGGACGGGCCTGGTCCGGACCCCAAGTACGACAATCGCACTTGACTATACGCAGTTCTAAACCGGGCGAGCCGTCACAAGAATGTGGCGATGCCACTCTAACCTCACCCTGCACAGAGATTTCCCAGCTCATGGGACAACAATCTCCGGCCAGCAGACTGGGAGCGATTGTCACTAGGGATGGTTAACTCCGCGGTTAACCTTTTATACACCAAACATCAGCTGCCACCACTTGTTTTAACCTCCTGCCGTCCGCCCGCCCGGCAGACTCGCATTTGCGGGTTGCCGTCTCCAGATGGCATTTTTTTCCTGCACACGCACGCTAGGGGCAGGAAAAAACCCTTTTGTTCTGCACAGATGTTACCGGCTGTTTCACATATAGCCGCTGGTCGGTTGTATGGTGTGATTTGGTGGACCGCCCCCCTCCTGACGCCTCACCTTCAATCCCGGGATCCGATAGCCTATCTGTGGCCTGGGACCGGCTCGGGAGGGTGTCAGGAGGTAAGATGGGAGGGAGATCAGCATCTTCCTCCTTGCTGATCTACATCCGTACTGTGAATGCAGAAGTGATGTGTATAACATCACTTCCGCATTCACCTTTCAGTCATCTGGCTGCTATAGCCAGAGAAAAGAAGCTGATGAAGCAGATCTCTGCTTCATCAGCTTCTTTTGGGGTCCCCAGGTGACATTAGGGGTCCTAGAGACGCCTAATGTCTCCATAAAGAGGACCTGTCAGTGTGCCTTTGCTATTATATAGGGGGATTGTATCCCCCTATGTAATAGCAATAACAATAAGTGTAAAAATATATATATAAATAAAAAAGTTAAAAAAAATAAAAGTCACATATAAAAAAAGTTTACAAAAAAATGTTTAAGTCCCCCACCCCCACGCACATATAAATGTAAATATGCGTCAGCGCGCAAAAACAACAATTGCGCTACACATGTTACATATCTCCACAAACGAGTGAGAGCAATCGTTTTAGGGCTATCAATAACTGATAACACTAAACTGATGAGCGGTAAAAGCTTTTAAAGCATCGCCTATTGTAAATTTTGGGTATTGTAGTTTTTTGAGGTTTCGCGCGTGCGTGCAATTTTAAGGCTTGACATGTTTGGTGTCTTTTCACCCGACGTGACCCTGTCTCTTATATTTTACCAAAAAATTGGGTAATAAAAAATGTTTTATAATTTAATATAGGGGAAACAGTTTTTTTTTTATTTTCTATAATTTTTCCTTGATATAGTAAAAAATCAAACCCCCAGTATTGAATAAATACCACCAAAAGAAAGCTCTATCTGTCCCCAAAACATTGTATGAAATTAATTTCAGTACAGCATTGCATGACGGAATAAATGTCAGTCAAAGTATCGCAGCGCTGAATACTGAAAAATGGCCTTGATGGGAAGGGGGTTTAACACAGCGGACTTCAAGTGGTAAATGGAAGCACACAATGATCTCAGCAAGTGCTGTGACACTTCAAAACTTAAACAAAGCTCATGATGCCGCTGCCCTCTCAGACAGGAATATGAGAGGTTTAACTATACAGTAGCGCTTTTCACAGAGGCAAATATACTTTAACCGTTTCAGGACCTGAAATTTGGGGTATTGTCGTTTTTTTCGGCTTGACATGTTTGGTATCTATTTACCTGGCGTGACCCCGTCTTTTATATCTTACCAAAAAATTGGGTATTATATTCTGTTTCTGTGCACTAAATTTCATAATAGTGTGTTTTATTCTAAAAATACTGGTTTGATAAACATTTGTCCAAATACCGTGCGACATAAAAAAAATTGCAACTAGCATTTTTTTATTCTACAGGGCCTTTGCTTTCAGAAAATATATAAAGCTGGGGTCTAAATCTGTTTTCTAGCCAAAAATCAGATTTTATTGTGTGTGCAAATAGTATGAAATTGCTCCGGGCCAGATCGTATTTTAATAAAAGAAATAGTGCAGGAAACTATACAGAAAAAGATATTAATAAAGAGAGACAAAATATATTACAACAGGAAATAAAAAGGAATCAAAATACTTAACAGTTCTGGGTCCATGAGTTCTGACAGAGTCCAGTTCAATAAACAAAACTTTATTTCGCCTCTGCAGCATCTTTTTGTCAGCCCTCTAGGGAGTGAAATGGAGCTCGCCCCTAGGGTAGGGTTAGGGTGGAGAAGCAGGAGGGCTAAGCCTTTACGATGTCCTCCTCTGCTCCTCCCAAACTGTTAAATTCATAACTAAGAATAATTGAATATTCATATCCAATACTGTCCGACAACCCCTAGATTATCCTGCCCAGTCCTGGGGACTGTCCTGCCCAAGATCACCAATATCATCTTCTGCCACCATTGTTGGCCTTCCACCATAACCAGCTCTTGTCACTGCTGCTGGTCGGCTAATATAACTAACTCCTGCACCTTCTCCAGCCCTATTCTGTTGCTCTGGCACTGTAAAGGTGCCAAACAACTTTTTCCACAGGTTGGTCTCAGCTACAAAATGCTTTGCATCTCAAATTTTGTGGCCTTTTCCAGTGATGAGGTATTGTAAAGGTGCCACACAATGTTTCTACAGCTGGGCTACATCTGCAAAATTTTGAATGTGTGCTGTAGAGTGAATCATGCTCCTTGCTCACATACTGTGCATGGACTCTGTACAATATTTCAGGCTTTCTGTTAAAAATACACTCCAAAATAAATTTCTTGATTAAAACCTGCATGGTTGCTCCCTGTTAACTGTGG